GGGGGGCGACTAGGGCCTGAGTAAATTTGTTAAGTTAGTGTAAACAACACAAAGAGCGCTCATATGTCAAAACGTTCTGAGAAAGTATGACCTCAAAAGAGTCAAACTTTACGATTTAGCTGTCAGTTGCCAGATTGCAACATTAGGGTTGCTCAATCCCGAAATATAAAAGGCAACCCTAGTAGCTCAAAACAAAGATTTACAGAGCAGTACGAGGCCTACGCGCTCCTACGCAGCTCGAGATGAAAGAAGAGCACCTACGGTATGAGCATGTGTTGCGAAGAAAACCAAATGATGTGATCACAGAAGCAAAGTTATTTGAAGCTGAAAGAAAGCGATTACGAGGATCCAAAAAAAAATGGAGGGCGTGATCAAGAAAGACTTTCCGAAGACAAGGTGACGGGAGAAGATGCCACAGATCAAGGAAAATGGCGACAATTAATAAGAGCAGCCGTCCTGCCATTGCTTGCTAGAGCTTTATAGCATGAGTTTTGAATTGACAACTCATCAAACACTGACAAGAACTTTCACCAGATAGAGAGAAAACGGGATGGTGTTTTATAATAGATTTACGGGGTGGACTGGGGAGGACTCCCCGTCCATGAGGATCGTTCAGATCTGTGCCACTGGAATGAGCTGAAATCCACCAATACAACTCGATCAGGGTTGTCTACCGTTTTGTGTAATTGGTATAAGAATCTTAATTGGATATACGACAGCTGGGATCCAAAGAATTGTGCACTGCACATTAGCTGACAGAAACCGTTGAAACCTGTTTTTTGAAAACAGGGTTCTAAAGCTGCCAAGGTGTTTTAGGCATGAATGTTACTCCTAACCCTGAACATTTCCCAATGCGCCACCCATGGAAAATTTATTCTCTCTTGCCGTGCAGTCGGTAACGAAGCAAAGTAAAGTTTACACTAGTCAAACACATAGCTACATTGTTACAAACAGATCTTTTCCGATCTCTGGTAACAAAATACCAAGCAATAAACTGGCGAACGTTACTAGAACGAAAAGCCCTTTTCTCACTAGAATTTGGAAATACTCCAAAGTACTAACCTGGTTAAGCAACACCATGATTTCTGCAAAACCGAGGAGCAACCGCGATCGAAGTCGAGTCTTCGCTTGAATCTCCCGCACTGAAAAACACCTTCTGCAAATGCACATAAAACATCTGTTTCATCGCTTTTCACAGTTTTTTATCGGTATCAAAGGATTTTTTGCGAATTTTACCTATGTTATGAAAACTTTGTGCCTATGGTAGTGTTAGAGGGATAGCGAGAACTGCCTCTAGTAAAGTTCGTTGATTTAACCTTCTTCCCAACATGTTCAGGGAATGAACTCAAATTCAAAGATTCCGCGCCCCAGCTCAAGGTGATCGGGTTGACGCACGCGGGAAAGTTTTTGTAATGGCGCTTTATTCAAATTTCAGGCAATACTTTCGTCCAAATTTTAATATGGCTCAGCCTTCGTTGTAGGATCGTCGCTATCTTCCCTGAAGGTGGTAACAGTTTTCTTTTCTTGAATGCTCAACGAAATAGTATGTGAGTGCGATGAATGTAAGATTGTAAAACGAGGCTTTGAGTTCAGCAACCAACAGAGCAGAGATTGACTCGGTGTACTTGGTGGGATTTCATTTTGACTTGGCTATCATATGCATAATTACATTTGATAGTTCAAATCCTTCTTCCAAATGTACCATTGTAATGATGAAAAACGGCGAAAGCGTGGGGATTGTCCATCATGTCACCTGCTGTGATTCTTGATCTTGACGGCAAGTACACAAACACAATTACAGTTTTAGTGTGACGTTGGTCAAGCTCCACCTATTTTTTTTTGAATAAAAGTCTTAGGATGTGAAAACCTGTATTGCTCATCAGGTGTATTTTCTGTAACAATTTTGCCAAATATAGAACCTGAGTATAAAACCTGTCTCTCC